TTATAACCAATGTTTTATTAAAACTGACCACAAATGCATTTCAACAGCTACACCTTCTACAATGTTATATGCTTTTTAAAATAAAGAGTTTTCGCCTTTGACTTAAATTCAATTTAAATCATGTCAAAATGTACTCGACTAGAAGCTTTTCTGTAAGAATATATTATATATCTTTTTGGTATGGACTTTAACCAGCCAAAGCTTACATATGTTGGTAAGTTTTTAATAATTATGTTATAAACTTGTTTTAAGCTATTAATTATTTGTTATAACCAACAAATAACAAGGTATGCATGTGTATTATCTCCCATACTCTTCATTAGGTCTTTCGCTCTCTTACATTTCATTGCTTCTCGCTTCCGTCTCTCCTACTCTCTTTGCCAGACTCCATTGAGTAATAAAGAGATAAAGAGTGAGTAATAAAAATCTACCGATCTGCTTGCAAGTTGAAAGCGAGTGGAGAAGAAGAAGACATATGCATAGCCGTGCTTAGAAACCACAACAATGAGTTGGAAGGGTGCAGAAGCTAAGATCATAGACTGTAGCCCCAAACATAAAAAGATAGAAAGGACAGAATTTGTGGTATGCTTTTTTCACTGTGGAGTCGTTTGTTTTGATTATGGTTATTGTTAGTTCTAATGGAAAATGTTTTGAAGTTGCTATTGAATTGTGGACATCGGCAGAAGTAGCTGCAGACAGCTGGGTGTTGTGTTTGCAATTTTTGTTTGCAACCTCGATTTCGCTCAGGAAGTATTTCTAAAAAGAGCTTTTGATCCAAACGCCGGCTCTTTCTCTTTATTACTCAATGGCCAGACTCTAATGCTATCAATCTCTCTCTTTCTTTTTGCTTGCAATGCTTTTTCTCTTTTACTTTCCTATTTAGCTTACTTTGCCTCGTTGTTTACATACAAGTAAATTTAATGAAATAAGTGTAAGTATAGAATCTAAGTTAGGCACAAGTTAAGACTAAAATATCTCTGAAACTGCCACACAAATATTATCTCACTAACAAAATTCCAGAGCTCAACAGTTTGCTTGATTAAAATACCACCACCATCAAGTTCACAACAGCTGATTTTTGTTATATTTGGCACGTTTATCGATAACAATGTTATTGTAATCGATAAGGCCAAGACGGAGAGCTGTGCTTAAAACTGCTAAATATAAAATATTGCAATGCTGTGGTCTATAGGCGTTCCACGGTAGTTAATATTTTCTCTCTTCAACAGCGTAAACTTCTTTTTGTGTTACAGTCATTGCCAGCTAGTAAAAAGTTTGTTATCGCGTAAATACTTTGGTCGAGCATATGTATATGACCGCTGAGTAATGCACTATTATATACATATACTATTAATAATATATATATGTTTTAAATAACAGAATTATATCGCCATAATGCAGAGAAGTACATGCTTTTTGATAACTTTCTTGAGCTGTTGCATATTGGCTGCAGTCGGATCCTGCCCTAAAGAATTTGCAAATCTGGAGGAGTCTACGATTGCGCATGAAAACATATATACTTACTCAAGTGTGAAGCCACCGAATCCCACAGTGGGTCTGCTCTATCCGCGTGAGTCAAATACGAGAGAAGTGCGCTCTCTGGATGGAATATGGAACCTGCTCAGAAGCAATGCCAGCGATCCGTTACAGGGCATACGGGAAAAATGGTACAAAGAAAACCTCAGAGCGACGAATCACGAAATAACTTTAATGCCTGTGCCAGCATCTTACAACGACGTGACCGTAGACCAGCGACTACGAGACCATGTGGGAACAGTTTGGTATGAGCGGCATTTTTTTGTACCCAGCCGTTGGCGTAAGGAGCGCATGCGCGTCTGGCTTCGCTTTGGTAGCATTCACTACGAAGCTATTGTTTGGATCAATGGTCAAACCACGATGCGCCATAGTTTTGGTCATCTGCCGTTCGAAGTGGAGATTAGCAGTTATGTCAATTACGGCAGCGAGAACCGCATCACAATCATGGTTGACAACCGGCTCAACAATCACACCATTCCCCAGGGTCAAGTGGTTAAGCAAGTCAATGACGATGGATTTGCCTATATACAAACATACACATTCGATTTTTTCAACTACGCCGGCATCCATCGTTCAGTACATCTTTATACAACGCCACCAACTTACATAAGCGACGTGGAACTGAAAACGCAGGTCTCCAGAAATCTAATAGGCCGCATTGATTATCGCTTGTGGCTTGGTAACGCCGAAGTTTTGGATGTGAAGTCTACCCATGTGCTAGTAAAATTGCTAGACAAAAGTGGAAATGTTGCGGCTCATCAAATAAATCGGGATATTCGCAATGGTACTTTGCTTGTGCCAAATGTAAAGCCTTGGTGGCCCTATCTTATGAACCCGGATCCAGGATACATGTACACACTGGAATTTCAGTTGATCGCTGAAGGAGGTACCGAAGCAGAGCCAAATAATGAGCTGTTGGACGCCTATCGACTGCCCGTTGGCATTCGCAACCTCAGCTGGAACAAGGATGGTTTGTTCCTAAATAACAAGCCGCTTTATTTGCGCGGCTTTGGCAGGCACGAAGACTCGGATGTAAGTTGTTTAAACCCGCGCAGTATTCAATATGAATACCTTATATTCTGACGGTGCTTATTACAGATTCGTGGTAAGGGTCTGGACAACGCGCTGCTCACGCGCGACTTTAGTCTACTGCGTTGGGTTGGAGCCAATGCCTACCGCACCTCCCATTATCCCTACTCGGAGGAATCTATGCAGTTTGCGGATCAGCATGGCATTATGATCATCGACGAGTGCGCTAGTGTTAATACGGATTTATTCGAGCCAGAGCTGTTGGTTAATCATATGTCTTATTTGGAGCAGCTTATTCATCGCGATCGCAACCACGCCTCCGTGATTGCTTGGTCGATAGCGAATGAGCCGCGCACAAAGAAAAAGGCGGCCGAAGCTTATTTCGGGTAAGTTATTATAAAATATCAAATTGATAAGTATTAAATTATATTTTGCAAAAGCGCATTGGCCAACTATACAAGGGGCATTGCCCAAGGGCGTCCTCTAACGGCTGCTAGCAATGTGGATAAGCCTTCTGAGTGCATGATGTCACAATTTTTGGACATAATTGGCTTTAATCGTTACAATGCCTGGTATCACAATGCAGGACGCACCGACATGATTGTGCAACCAATGTACGACGAGGCCAAAAATTGGCGAGATCGGTATCAGAAGCCGGTTATTCTGTTTGAGTATGGCGGTGATACCATTGAAGGATATCACACAGTAAGACTTTAGAGAAACATTTAAGCGAGTAGTGCCTTAATCATTTTTAATATAGTTGCCCGCATTTATCTGGTCGGAGGAATATCAGACGACGCTATTTTCCAAACATTTCAAGGCGTTTGATCGACTGCGTGAGCTTAAATGGTTTATTGGTGAATTTGTCTGGAACTTTGCCGATTTCAAGACAGAGCAAGGTAAGTAACTAAAAGTTTCCTAGGCCTAGATAACTAATCTAACTAATTATTCGTAGCTTTCACGCGTGTGGGAGGCAATAAAAAAGGCGTTTTCACACGTAATCGGCAACCCAAGGATGCAGCGCATCTGTTACGAAAGCGTTACCACGCACTTGCATGGAAACTGGACAACGCCAGCTTGCCTGCTGATCTCTTCGATTACATTATCGACTGGAATTAGTATTCATTCGTCTTAACTTATATTATTCCCCAATAACAAAAATGTAGCTGAAGATAAAGAAGATGACTTCAATCGTAAACAGGTTTAGTGGCACTCTTAGTTAAAGCAGGAAACCATATATTTATGTGGTTCATATCTTTCTTTGTTTTGAAAGTGAATTACTGGAATTTTAGCTTTCGAAATCTTAAAGCAAATACTCCCTATAACAAAAGCGAATTAAGTAAATACTGATAAATTTCATAGGCAACCCCCCCGGTACAAATTTAAAGAATAGCCATAAGAGCTTGTTGCTGAAATTATTGCTGATTGCGCCTGGAGCACAACTCTGATAAAAACAACGACAGCATTTATTTAAAGCGCAAGCACACCAAATATTCAAGCTACAATCAGTCTTAAAGTCTACTACTGACAAGATGCACAGCGCTGTCCTGCTGCTCCTATTGTTGTTCTGCCTAGGAGCTAATGGCGATTTGTCTACGCCCCTTGTTTCGGCCCATATGGAGGACTATATAGCTCAGAACCAGCGACAATACGACGCCAAGCTCAAGAACTGGGAGGATGAATTGGCTCTTTTTCGGAAAACCTTTACCAGTGAACTGCGAGCTATTAATGTGCATGCCGATCAGCTGGAAGTAAAGCTGGAGGAAGCGAAAGCACGTCTAAATCCAATTGAGCTTATTGACTCGTGGCACAAGCACTGTGTGCAGAACTACAGCGCAACCATTCCATTAATTGCAAATGTGCGAAGCGCCCTCAACGGCTGTTTTAATACGGCCAATAGCAACCTGAACTCAATACTAACGAATGCACAGAACAGCTTTAACAGCCTAAAGAACTTCTACAACAGCAACCTAAAAACATTACTGTCCGACTGCGAGAAGCGGAACCCCAAAAGCCAAATGAACTACACAATCTGCGTTGAGAATGTAGTAAGTTAGCGAATGCGCAAAGCTTTGTTTATGAAATTAATGAATAGCATATAATATCTAATTAACTCTCTCCTAGATATCGACAACCAATACCTTTACTCAAAATAACCAGAAAAACTTCAACAATTACATGCAGCAGGCCCAGTGCACTGCTGATATACGCACCACGCAGGCCTGGGAGTGTGCCTTCAACACGGTCTATAGTACCAGCTCATCGCTGGGAACAGCCATACGGCTTATCGATGATTGTATTGCCAACAAACTGGCGTGCGCTTCCGTATCCTGCACAAGTAGTTGCACTAATCAAATGATTATCAGCTGGAAGGAGAATGACTTTCTTAACGCCACCATTAAGAACCCTTTTTATGGATTGGATAGTAAGCTGAGTTGCTTGGAGATGAAGTTTAAGTATTAAATCTGAAATAATGAAATGCACTTTATCACTTCTTCTTGTCCAAAGACAATAACATAACATTTGGTTGCAATTTCTAATTAATACAAACGTTCTACTTACATCTTATAAAAAGTGTTCTGTTGTCTATGATCTACTCGGGCGATTAAGATTCTTCGTGCATTGCAGCATAAGAACAGAGGCAGGCAAGCAGAACAGCACAGATAATGTGAGGGTATACAACTGGTTAAAATAATTTATGGTCCATGTCATGCAACCTAATTTGAACATCTTTATGGAGAATAGAATAACAGGCGAACATGTTCGCGAGAACGTTACCACTGGGCAAGGATTTCTACCTGAATTCGGTGCGTTTATACCTGTTTCTGAAGTAAGTTAGAGAACCACCACCAAAATGTCTACTGTCTTGCTAAGGTTTCCTCGGTTGTCTCTTTTGTGTGTTCTTAAGAAGGCAAGCGCAGACATCAACCCTCCATGCATGTGGCTCTCCGTCTTGGTAGTTACTAGGGCAACAGCAGTTTCAGAAGTAGTTTCTGTGCTCAACACAGCAGACACCGCCTTACCTGGAAACGTCTATGCGACATCTTCATTATTTATAATTATTATGGCTCAATAACAGGATCAACGGTTTCTATCATTTTTTTGAGAAATTTCAATCTTGATAATTTAGCAGGCGTGCAGAAAAACGAAAGCAAGCATGAGACGCTTGAGAACAATGCTATGAAAAAAAAAAGAATTACAAGGGGACCTCCTGCAGATTAGGATCTTTTTCAACAAAAAATAGGTTCGCTGCCAGCATCTTGCAATGCATCTTGACGTTTGCGTGGGAACCTTTATAGAATAATTTTAGTTTCGGAACAGGCGAACAGACAACATTGAAGAGCTAGATTCTCACGCTGAATTACTTAATAAGATCCTCGATTTGTTGTTGTCTTGGTTGGATCGTGCGATCCAAACGAATAATTGTGAGCGTGAGAATTTTTCACGCCCTGTGACAAACGCCTGCCAGGCGAGCAGAAGCTGACATATGCGTGACGGAACTTTCTATGCTGTAATAATAAGAAAAACCTAAAACGGAATTGTAAATACGAGGCCTGAGAAAATATTTGTATCTACCTCATGTGTTCTTAGTTTTTGTTTGTGTCTGTCTGCCTGTCTGCCTATAGACAATGGGAGTTTTCAGAGACACATTCCTATCCCGTCTAATAAATAAAGCCAAATTGTTGTTCCCGATCATTGTTTAATTAAAGTTGGCGTTGCGTGTGCGCTTAAGCACAAATGGATTCTGATATTTGTCACGATAATTTTAAGGCTTTGAATAGGCTCACAGAAGTTGACGCAAGCGCTCGACAAAAAACAACCACCAAGTGCCTTCAGACATAGTTGACGTTGCATGTGTGGAATTTGTATTGAATTACATTCTGAGTGCCAAGGCTCTTTTTTCGACCCATTGAAACGAACAAAGTCAACAAACTGGGAATATTAAAAGAGTTAAAAAGTGTAGCATGGCAACAGGCAAACATAAAAATGAGAAGGCTTCACGAATCTGAACGTAAACTATAGAAAACCAAGTCAATGCCAGCAGTTGGGTGCTGCTGACCTGTTCGAAATCAATTAGAAAAGTAAACAAAAAATACATCAATCAACAAATTCCAAGAATGAGGGAAAAATTCTTGGAATTAATGGTCCGGGCGGCAGGTTTAGGATTTAAAATGCAATCAAGCCTAACGAACAAACAGGGGCCGAGAATCTTGCCGTAGGTTTCAAATTGAGTTGAGATTTCAATGCGTGCTGAAATTTCAGTAGAAAAAATAATTTGAGACACAAATTGATGGCGGTCCCTTGTAAAAATTTCCAAACTAGATTGTTTATAAAACTATAACCAATTTTCTGCTAGCCTATTCTTATGCACCAGTTTAAAGCTGGCATTTTCATCCATTTTGGCGCTTTGTTGTGCATATAAGTCGAGAAGAAATAAATAACTTGGTCTTCGCTAATAATTTATAAGACTTAAGATAAGCAAATAATAAAAGCAAAAATAGCATAAACCTGGAATCAATGAAGCGTGACCTCAACGATGAAAGGAATAGGATTACAGAAGTGCTAAAAAGAGATACATCGAGGATTTCAAAGATCACAACAAGACAATCTGTGAAACTTTCATTTTCTAAGCCAATTTGTTTCAAGACTTGATGGCTTCAAACTTATGCAGTCCTGTTAGAAATATGAACACGAAAACAAACGAAAAACATCGCATTTATTAGTTTTCCACAATGAGGAAAAAGATTCTTCTCTGCATCGTTCAATTGCTGGGAAAAAAATAGGTTACGGCAGGTAGCAAACTGTCTAGAAAAATCTTAGTCTTAAGCTAAACAAACAACCAATTGAGGAAATTGAGCACATTTTTAGTCTACACATTGTAAGAGCAGTGCACTGCCTATATACATATGTGTGCAGCCGAAAATTGTCCGAGAAGATGCCACAATGTAAACTCGCGTAGGTCCCTTGTTAAAAAATCTGTTCGCCTCGGCGAATGTTACACTTGGTTTCACATGAGCAACAATGATCAATTGTGAGGCTGCACCCGGTCCATAGCATGTCATCTCATTTCTATATTTTGTTTGCCTAACTATTTATTTTGATGGGCACCTGCTATAGCTTAACGCAGTGGCTTCAAATTTCTTAACCGATCTAGCAGCAGCAGTATTGGGGTGTCTGTCGTAATTTATAATACGACAATTGTGGCAAGTACTTAGTTTTTTATAGGAAGAAAGCATAATTATCTGATTTGGATCGTATTTGTAATTAAACAAAAAATATAAATATTTATAATAATTATATTTTCTTGGGCGCTTTTGACTTTAAAGAGTTTTATTATTGAACAAGATAAAAGCAAAAACGTTAGATTCCTAAAAAAACAGTACTTTGGTCGCGGCCTCTCAGCGACCAAGCGTAGCCGTGATCGTCTAGTGGTTAGGACCCCACGTTGTGGCCGTGGTAACCCAGGTTCGAATCCTGGTCACGGCAGTGCTATAAATGCATTGTCACGGAGCCTGGTTGTACTTTTTTGGTACGTAAATAAATTTATTATTTTAATTTCCATATAAAAGCATTTATCATCAAAGTTGTCTCTATAGTGCTATCTAGAACAAATATAGGATACAAAATATTTTTTGACGCCAGTCTCATTTTAATATTAATACATAATAACATATTTTACTTTAAATTGTTCCTATTCTAAGGCTGAATTTTATACATACATCAATATTTTAACATGTCATGTTAATTCATGAAAACAAGGAAATTGTCCCATTTGAACGCAACCAAAGCGCCATCTATTTTTCAATTACGTTTTTTCTAATTTTCACGAAAAGTGTTTGTGTCATTGCTAGTATTGTAGCTGCTGAAGCGATTTTGTAAAATCAAACTGCATTCAATAGCCATATAGCTTTTGTCTGTCTTTCACATATGCACAAATGTGTATGTGTGTGATTGATTGTAAGACCTGACTTTAGTCGGTCGGGCAACATAACCGATGTAGCCGTGATCGTCTAGTGGTTAGGACCCCACGTTGTGGCCGTGGTAACCCAGGTTCGAATCCTGGTCACGGCAATGCTGTAAACCTGCATTGTCACGGAATCGGATTGTTTTTTTTCATTTTTATTATATTAAAATACATATGTCTTAATATAATAATTATATATACTAAGTTAGTTTCATACACATTAGAAACAAATACCAATTAAAATGAAATAAATGGATATATTTTATCCCACATTAATCCTACTGAATAAATATTTTACTTGACTTTGTAGACTAGTGTTAATTAAGTGTGTCAAACGACCACAGTATTTTTCAATATCTTTTTGTCCGTTTGATAAAGCCCATATCGATTCAGTTTAACTCCATCTTGTTTTTTTCTCCACCGCGCCCTGCTACAGTATTGACTCGACACTGATTACTTTTAATGTTTTTGGCAAACGTTGTTCAGTGGATGTATTCAAATTTCGTTTTCGTAATATATTTTTGTTGCATTAATTAAATAAAACTCTGTGAACTTTAATTAAAAATATTTAACTTATTACCGGAGCCTTGTTGAATGCATACAAATCTAAATGTATAGGCCGCACCATAAGAATTAGTGATTGTCATAATTTATAGAAAGATTTAAAACATTTAAACTTGAAAAAAAGTTTGTATGTTTTGTATTTGTTTAGATATTTTGACGATGCGTTTCAACAGCCAGACGTAGCCGTGATCGTCTAGTGGTTAGGACCCCACGTTGTGGCCGTGGTAACCCAGGTTCGAATCCTGGTCACGGCAGTGATGTAACTCACTGTCACGGAGTCGAGGCTTATTATTTTATAAATTTGAATTCTCTTTTGCTTTATCGGAGTCAATCTGCGCTTTACTTAAAAAAGTTTGGTGCGAGGTGTAAAAATCTCAGAAAAGCAGTTTTTCTTTGTAAAAACTAGTTTTATTTAGCATATGCATTAATAGTTGTATATTTAGGGTTTTGATATTTACAATTGCCGTTTTGCATAACATAAATACGATATATTCATATAAATATTTCTCTAATTATTATAAAAACTATTCCTCGTAATTAAAACAGTGGCATAAAGCTTTATCATTTTGCATATGTACGTCGAATTGCGTTCGAATTAGTGAAACTGTTAGATACTCTTACGATGAACTCACATTTAGAAATCAACCATGTACACCCGCGGAATGTGTAAAAAAAAAAAATAATAATAATAATTGTATTACAAGAAGTTTTATATAACTGCAAGTTTTCTTTTCAAAAAATACACAAAATAAAACGCCTAAAATGACTGAAAACAAATATGGGATTTTCCATCTGAAACAAGAGCTTTAAAAGCTATCTTCACTTTGGCTGCTCATTGCTGCCCATAGAGCAGTTCAGAGCCGGGCGGTATGGTGCTGGGATCGACATTGGCATTAAAGTAGTTTGCGGGCGATGCAACGGCTGGAAACACAATCTCAGCAGTCTGTTGCTGTGGTTGTTGATCCTGCGGTGCCTGCTGTAAAGTTATATTATAGGGGTTCTGCACGTATTCCTCATAAATGTCTGAAGCATTGCCAGTATGTACCACCTCTGGCGCCTCGTAGACTGGCACGAAACTGTGCACAATGGCTGCGTTCGGCATCTTGGGCAGCGATGGATATGCATTGGAAGCCAAAAGATGGCTAAGGGGTACATTACTTGGTGTATGTGTATGTGTTTGCTGCGTCTGGTACTGCTGATATTGGAATTGCTGATGCAGGCCCTGCTGATGCTCGACCGAATTTGGCGGCGTAGCTGGCAGCTCAATAGCATAGCTATGACTGCTGACGATGGGTGTAGAAATGGGCACTTCCGCACTATAAACGGGTGTTGTGTACGTATTGGCGTGAGCTCCAGCCGCTACAGCTGCCTCATTGATCAGATCGGGCAGTAATGTGTTATTGTTGACGAGAGACTCCAGTTCCGTAGGCTGTTGTGGAGGAACCAATATCGGCTAAGGAGCAGGCAAAGTGTTAAGTTAATTAGGAAGCAATATTAAGGGCATAGACAAGTTCACCTGAGCAAATGTAAAGCTGGGCGCTTGTTGCAGTGCCTCCGTCGGTGGCGGCTGAAGAATGATGCTGCGTCGTGGCGATTCAACAGGTGATGAGACCAACGAGGGTGTGGCAACAACACCAGTCACAAGAGCAGCAGTATCAACAGTAGGGTTGACACTCGGCTCCGTGTGCTGCTGTACTTGGCTAGGCAGAACGGCCGCAGACAACATCTGTTGAGCGGTTGCAGTGTTTGTCAATGTTTGGGCTCTCTTGCCTGCAAAACGAGCAGTTAGAGATTTAAATTAATTGATAACTAAATAGATTAGGAACAATAACATCAATTTAAAGGCACAAACTAAATAACATTTCATTTCATCTTCTTGGCCAAACCCTTGAGCAACTTAAACTTAAAACGTAAACGGGCCCAGGGTTTCTTCTGCCTCTTAATCTGCACTGGAACATTGGTAAAACCCACACTTTTAGCTGTGGCCGTCGAGAACGTTGCCAGGTCGTAGCTGCGCACCGGCAAGGGCAATGACATGGAATGTTCATAAGTGATTTTTGTTATGTCCAGCGAAATGGCTG